CCTGCTGAAGAGCTGAATCACGAATTTCTAACCCCACCTTATGTCCTGTAGTGCTCGCCTTATCAACAACTGAAACCGATGATCATTTCTAGTGGAACATATCAGATTCATCAAAAGTAACATCATGGCTAATAATAATCTTAGGAGACTTCAGATCAGGACACCACAATCTAAAATCCTTATCACCCGATGCTTATCCAAGGAATATGCACTTCTTTGCTCGCGGCTCAAGTTTTCCTTGACTAACATGCACATATGCAGGGCAACCAAATACTAATTAGAATAATCGGTAGGCTTACCGGATCAAACCTCCTCTGAAGTTTTACAACTAATAGCAGTAAATGGTGACCGATTCACTAAGTAACAAACCGTATTCACTACTTCCGCCCAGTATTTCTTGTCTAAACCTGTATTGAACATCATACAACAAGCTTTCTCTAAAAGGGTTTTGTCTATACGTTCTGCCACTCCATTCTGTTGCGGTGTGTGAGGGACTATACGATGTCTAACGATTCCCTCCTTGCAGAACTCATTAAATTCCCTCCTTCAATGCCATTATAACTTTTATTTTTTATTATGTAAGGAGATCTTATAAAAAGATCAACTTTTCTATTTTGTGAACTTGTAATCGATAAATGATTGTAATAGATTCAAGGCAATGAAGAAATTAACTTTTGACCTAAACACACTGGCGACCACAGTGGGAGCCAACAGCCTTGTCACCAAGGCTGTCGTGTCGCAACCGAAGATCAAGATCCTGGTTGATTCAGAGGTCGAGTACGAGTTCGACGAAGCTAAGTTTGAGGAATATTTCTCCTCGTCTTCATCAAAATCCTCCTCTCCCTGCAAGTGCGGAAAGATCTCATCTTTGAAGGAGGCATATTCACCGATGAAGGCTTGAAATGACTCCGCTCACCACAACTCCTCTCCAGTCAAGGAGTTTTTCAATCAAGGTACGCCAACTCTGACGAAGAGGGCTCGTCAGAGGCGACGCCAACACCAAGCTCGTCAAATTGCCAAGGCATTAGAACACGTCGATGGAGTTCGCTACTACGCAGACTTAGAGTCTAGGAAGCATCAGGTAATCCAGCAATCCAGCCACCGCAACGGCAAGTTGCTGCTACGTCCACCGAATCATCGACGGGAGAATGAGTTCTTATCAAAAGGATTCGTTCAACCTTGAAGGAGCGCATCCAAAAACGACGTGCACGTGCTGCACGCGGGTGTGCCTTTATACGAAAAGCTCATGGCATGCAAAAGAAAGAGGTGGTCAAAGAATCACCAAAATATAAACGAGTCTGGGTGCCGAAGGCAAAAACAGCCGAAACGCTTCCGCTTAGGGCGAGACATGACTCGTGTCTCGCGGGCGTTTCCAAGCCTCCGTCAGCCTCTGATCCCACTCCTTTTGATCCCATACCACCGATGAAGCCCTATAATAGTGTGAACCTATCCCAATTCAGGATTCCATTGAAGGATCGCCTAGGTCCTCTCCACACAGATCGAGGCAAAGCTCCGGTGAATAAAACCCGAGAAGTTTCTCAGGCTGGGGTCGTGCAAACACTTCCGTTAAACCAAAGGCTACTCAAAGGTGTCCCGTCATCTCTAAACAAACCAGGGTACCTCGTTGTACATGTTCATGCGTCTGTACAAGACGACTCTTGGCATCGATCGCCCGAGGGTTCGTGTTGAAACCCAGGAGCCCGTTAATACCTGACGCTTGCAAGGGGGTGGTTCTAAACGTGTAACTCCTGATGTGACATTGGATCATTCAAAGGTGACAACAAATCGTCCTGAGAATGTCAACATGGTTCTTCTTCCCCAAAAGAAGATGTGTCCGTCAAAAGACAACGTTATACTCGGGGTATCACACCAACAAACAATGGATTGCTCCAATGAGCTGCACTATCAGACTGGAGGTGTGAATAAATCTCAAAAGGATGATGTTCGAGAAACTAACTCTCACTATCCATGTGAGAGGCTTATCAGAGTGGTATTATCGAAATGTAGCTGTCCTAGGACCATTTCACAAAGGGTCTCAATATTCGAGAAGCTTGCCACCGAGGCATTGAAGCCTAAGCCAAGACGTTTCCACGAGAGAAAATCCACTGTTCAGGATGATGAATTCCCTCGAGGCATTGAAGCCTAAGCCAAGACGTTTCCACGAGAGAAAATCCACTGTTCAGGATGATGAATTCCCTGAAGTCACCATTAATATGGTTGACACGTTTCCACGAGAGAAAATCCACTGTTCAGGATGATGAATTCCCTGAAGTCACCATTAATATGGTTGACAAAGGAATGTCTATCATTACTTCAAACGGTTCTAATCCTGATTTTTCTCCCGGAAGAAAAGTCAATTCAGGGATAGCCCAACGAATGTCTCGGCTCCAGCTAGGAGCCATCGGACATAAGCATTACCCAAGGATACACGAAGAACTATCTTTAGAAGACGAATTGTCGGATACTTGCTCTGCAATTGCCTCCAATGATACAATGTCCAGCATGGGGAAAGCAAGGGAATCGTTCATGATCACTCCTAACCTAGTGATCCAAATGCTTCAAGAAGCACTGGCTAAACAACAAGAGGAATTCAGGGCTGAAATGAACACTAAGATAGAGTTGACCATGCAGCAGATGAGAGAGTTACAAGCTCAATAACTTCAACCACTACCTGAGTCTAGTCAGCGGGCTAAATTCAGCCACCGTACTCAGAACGTCGTAGTTGGTAGCAATCCAGAAGTGGGCAAAGCACCCTTCGAAAATACTGGGGGTGGTCCAATCGCATCCCTAAATAACATTGAAGGTGGTCCAAATGCACTCACTAAAAATAAAAATACTGGGGGTAGCCCCATCACTAATGATAACGCTAGGGGTGGTCTCATCGTTCCTCCTTAAAATGGCCCAAAGAAAGATACAGATGATAACGAGATGATGAAAGAGCTGGAGAATAAAGTCAATGCCTTAATGTCCTTTTAACAAGTAAAGAGAACGGGCATTCTGTGCCCATATCCAAGAGAGTGGGATTCAATCGTATACCCGGTGAAGTACAATCTAATTAACTTTACACCATTTGACGGGAGAGGATCACCCACTCAACATTTGATTTACTTCAAGTCTCACTTGGGAGTGATCTTCGGGAATGAACCCCTAATGATTCGGTCATTCGTGGGTACCCTTCGCGGGACGGCCTTCGATTGATATCGACGTCTCAAGCCAGGGAGCATCAATTGCTGGGACGATATGGAAAGCTCGTTCCTTAACAATTTTTTCGACGATGACATCGACGTGTCGATTGAAGCTCTTCTGGATGAGAAGCAAAAAGACGATGAGTCAGTTGATAGTTTTGTCAAACGCTTCCGCAACAAGACAATAAATTGTAGGGATCCTGTCACAGAAGAGTTCATCTTACAGACGTGCCATGATAATCTCTCCATCGATATCCTTGAAGTCATTGGGGTTGTCCCCTCAATCACCTGGAAGAAATTAAAACTACGTGGTGAACAGGTTGAACTTTTCCTCAAAAGAAAGGAGCTCGAGAGGGTCCAACCGATGACTAAAGTATCTACAATTGATGACGATATTCATCAACAGACACCTTGAAGACAACAAATGACTCTTAATCCGAAGTTTCAGGAGGAGTATTCTTTCGAAGATGATGAAGTTCCACCCATCTTCAAATATATCCTCGCCAACAATAAGATCAAGCTACCACCGATTACAAATCAGGAGGAAGCAAATAAGATTTCGGATCCTAAGTACTGTGCATACCACAGGAGGGTCCATCACCCCACCAAGACTTGTATTACGCTGAAAAACAGCATTCAAGCCTTGGTTGACGTCGGCATCATAACACCGAAAGAAGCCGAATAAGAACGGCTTCCTCCGATAGGTATATGAGGTTAAACTGCTCCCATCCTCTGATAGGTCTATGAGGTTAAACTGCTCCCATCCTCCGATGAGTATAAGAGGTTAAACTGCTTCTCTGTGATACTCCAGTGAGTATACGATCTAAACCATTTTCCTTATTTCTAGCGGGAAGTTCCTGGAGAATATTACACATGATATTTTTAAAGATAACCTGGGATCAAAGGTTCGTTAAAGTCTATGCCCAATACGCGTTGCCGGGTAGCCTATTCCCGTAACAATGACCAAGTTTATGTATTCAACATCATAACACTAAGTCTAAGAGAGTTAACTCTTTTAGCACAACATTACATGCGGAACAGACTTAGACAATCCGCATGCTAGCCCGACTCAAACGGTAGTCGGTAAAGGCTCATCAAACCCGTTGATGGCTAAGGGTTTGCCAAAAATCCTATAAGTGTGAGACTCATTGACGCATCAGCTCTATTAGTCGGTCTTGTGACTTGAGGATCCAACAACTTCAGGATAAAATACATACATACAGATGAATCAGCTTTAACAGTTGGTCTTACAGCCCCAACACTTGGGACCGTCACGCTCCAACATCTTAAGAGCATAAACTGTATAGACACCGGTAGATGCGTTGCGACGAAAGTCAATGCTGATCAACGCGTTGCGATGGAAGTCAACGCCGATCAACGCATGATCTCCGATCAACTCCAAAGTTCAGATATAAATTCCCGATAAAGATGATCAATTCAAAGTCAACTCAATGATACGAGCTAAGTTCAGAAACTTACATATCAATTTTAGTTCAAGACTTCAACAACGGTTCGACAAAATACAGAATAGACTGAAGGCTGAAGAAGTCAAGAATTGAAGCAATTCACAGGTCCTTTTATGTGATCTCCTCAATGAAATACTAAAGAGATTAAAGACAGGGCTTCTCTTATCCAAAGCATTCCAGACTTTTCTATAAAAGAATGAGTCTGAAATACTTTGGAGGGGGTATCTGTAGGCATCAAAATTTGCCTATGAATTCCCGTACGCACTCGAGGCGAAATGCAGACGATAAGCATCATCATCCAAGTCAGAAAAGGATTATCTGGCCCCGTGAAAGCTAACGAATATACAAAGTGAGTCATCGGAGTGTACAAGTTAACGGAATGACGAAATGCACAATACAAGTTCGGAGAAGTCAGAAAGTGTCGAACACCTTAAAGTGGTCTGTAAAAAGAAGAGGCATTTAGACCATGCTATGATTTGAATCTAAAAAGTTCAAAACATGAAAATTGTAGGTCTCTTCATCAGCTTTCTAACACATCTTAGATCACCTCATTCTGATATCGGACGAGGGAGTTAAAGCCAAAATATCTAAGACCATTCAGGCCGTTTTACACCAGTGAGACACAATCTGTGTCTCAGAGAAAATGAAGATTTTGGCTATGATATGGTTCTAATATGAAGAATCTTAAAACATAAAAGTTATAGGTCTCTTTGTTAGCTTTCTAAAGCATCTTGAATCACCTCAATCGGAGGTCAGATGAAAGAGTTAAGACTAAAATACCCGAGACAGTCCAAGCTGTCTCGGACATGTGCGAGACAATCGAAGTAACTCGCGCCCATGTCAGTTCCCGATGTGTTTTCTAATAAGATTAGCTTCTAGAACTCCTTGGGGTCATCCATAAATATGTGTGGTTATCTTTAAACATGTGAAAGTTGTTACACAACCGAAAACCCACCTAAACGGATAATAACGGTTGTTCTTTGATCCCATCCACAAACACGGTATTCCTATCCACAAACACGACATCTAAAGCCTATAAATACACCCCTAGCACCCTCATAAAATCAGATCTGAATGGAGCCACGAATTTCAGAGGAGCTAGGGCGAGGTTTTGACGAATTTAAGAGAGGCTAGCAGATTTTGGCGAACTCCGGCATAAAGAATGAGCGTTTCGAAGGATCTGAGGTCCGTTCCCCCTTTCCTCCGGATTTAAGCTTAGTCTTAAATCTCGAGAAGAACTGTGATCTCGCTTGGTCGGGATCATCGCTGCAGCGATTACTTCCTTTGTGAAGTAAGAGCTTTAATCAATTTTTTGTCAACCGGATCTGATCCGAGACGGTCCATGGATAAACCCCGGCACAGACAAAGATCTCACGTAAACAGAGACTAATAAATAAGAACTGTGTGTTGTTTGATAAAGTTATAATCTTTTATTTTTCATTGTGTAAGGAGATCTTATAAAAAGATCAACTTTTCTATTTTGTGAACTTGTAATCAATAAACAATTGTAATAGATTCAAGGCAATGAAGAAATCAACTTTTGACCCAAACACCAATGCTATTAAGAGTGCCCAAAGATATGAGATTCTTCCTAAAACCTAGAACATACCTAACATCTGTCAAAGTCCTGATGACTCTATCACTCATCTTAATCTAAATTGTGTCTTTCCCAACAGTCTTGCATGAGGCGTTGTTCCTCATAAGAACAACTCCACCATCAATAGCTTCATAAGTGGTGATCCAGTCCTGATTAAGAGACATATGATAGGAACAACTTGAATCTAAGATCCAATCATTCGTGCTAGCTCCTGTTTATATCATCTGTAGCTAACAAAATCATATCTTCAACAATATCAACTTCAGCGGAGTCCTCCTTTGATTTTTCTTCATACTTTTCTTGTTTATTCTTTTTCTTCAATTTGTAACAATCGGTCTTGATGTGCCATTTATTATTGCAATATCTGCAGGTCAGATTCTTGTGCTTTGACTTATACCTGTTACCTCCAAAGCCCATTTCTTCCG